CATGACTATGACCTTCCAAGGTCTGCTGAAAAACCTGGAATAAGTCATCCTGCCAACTCATCCTGGCCATGCTGTGTGTCTCCCTGGGCAGCGTCCCCAGCACGGCGGTGGGACGATATCTCCAGTTACCACAAGGTGGGACCATTTTCCACAGCCTGGAAGAAATCTCACCGCACATCGCAAGCCGGTGCACGCGCGGCCAACTTCTCCCAGCCCTGGAGACACGTTTTTCCTTTTCAATTCCCAGTTAGGAACAGTTAGCAGCAGTAACCAGAGCAAAACTCCTCCGTTCATCTAGTCACTCGCTGAGAAACAGGGCGATGCTCAGCACCACCCACTGCACGCACGTCTGAACGGCCCCTCCACTCCTGCAAGCAGGGAGGATGCTGAGCATCCACGGGATTCCTTGGGAATCCCAAATTATACAGGCATGGTCCCGGCGATACCTGCACCCGAACCTACATCCCGCCGTCACTACGCTCCAACAGCAGAGCGTGGGCTCCTTCCAACAACCACAGTTACGACCAACCCAAGCTAATGCAGCCTCCAAATTCTCAAATATATAAACAAAACCTATTTTAGATTAATTTTAACCTCAGCGATGAAATCGTACCTGCATATGTTGGTATCACTCCACTAACATTGCTAATTGCCAGTACCCACTCTGGTTACATTTTATACAAAACTTTTGTTTTTCAACACCTGTTTTGGGGTTGAAACCTGAAGGACAATGAAATAATTTAAAAACCAAGTTGTGAAGAGGCATAAACAGCAAGGAGAGCTGGGGGAAACAAGACAAGGCATCTCTTGCAGAAGAAAGGCTAACTCGGGTTAACTCCGTACAGTCAAATCTATATCCCGAAGCCACCGGTGGCTGAAGATAAATTCTGTTTGCACTCACATCTTGAAAAAATAATTGCTCTTCAGGGATAATAAAAACACTGCTCCTCCAAAAATACCAGATGCACTTGGAAACAGTGTCCACAGCATCAGTTAACGTCTGTGCTGTGAGTCAGATGCTTGGAGAAAGGCAGGTGCTGCCGTCTCATCCAGAGGATTCGGAAACAAAACACTTACTTGAGTTTAATTACGCCCCTGGAAAATTAATCGGAACACACCTTACCTGTGCAGCTTCATAGGTGATGGTCTTGGTCTCCGTGTGGACAATGGGGACTTCTTTCGTGGGAATTTCACTTTTGACGGCGCTGGACACGTCGGAGATGGTGACCGTCTGCGTCTTCACGAGCGGCGGCTACGAAACAGGGTGAAAAACATCTCCGTAAAGACCCAGTCGGCGTTCCCACGCGGTGACCGTGCCGCTGGCAAACGTTCTGACACTGATCTGATAAAAGCACTGTGGGAACCAAGGTTGGCCTGGGAATCTTTGGTTCTAAGCCTCTGCTACGACACCCTGCTCAGAGGGCAGAGATCATGCGTGAGGATTACACGGATGGAAAAATCCTCCAGACCTTCCCCAACACGGAGCCCTCGGATCAGCCCATCAGGCATTAAGGGTTTAACTGGTGTGGCACAATACCACAAAGAAACCTTCTCCACTGATTACTGACTTTCTAATTACTAGAAGCTCATTGCCAGCTGCCAGTAGAAGATGACCCTCATCTACTGATGACAATGTCAAGATTAACACAAACCCTGAGCACATGGAGGCTTCATCACAGCTTTATCCTGGCTGCAAGCAAAACCCTGTGTTATTAAACCCCCTCATCAGATCCTGGGTCTTTAACTTTTATTAAATCAATGTCAGACCAAACAGAAACATGAGATTTTGAAAGCGAAATGGGGGTTGGGGGGAGAGAAATCAGTTGTTCCACCACCTGATAATTATCCAGAAGAAGACAAGAGTTAGTTCAGACCCGCAGTGCTTTTCCCAGAGGGTTCGATTTCTGCTCACCGTCCCCGAACCTGACAGATGCCACCGTGATCGTTAGCAGGGGGAAGTGGGCACCTATTTAACCATCAGCAATTAATACCAACACTGAAGCAGGCAAAAACGTCTCCCACGGGGGGAGCGGGAAGGGACATCAAAGCCCACGTTCACGATGTAAAAGCACGTTTGACAGCGCTTCGGATTGCTCTGCTGCGCTAAGGCTCAGCCTCCGCCACAGCAAGAGACGGCAAAAACCTTAAAAGAACTAAAATTATACACCTTTGGAGCCTAAATATTGCCTTTTTGGGGGATGCAACGGGACGCTTTGACCAAAGGAAGGCACAGGGCGTTGCGCTGCGGTATTTAATGCAGAGATAAATCGAGAGGGGCTTGTGTGCACTGACTGCAGGAGATTCACCGGCTCATAACACGGCCTCATTAGCTCGGCGCAGGAGCCGGAGCCGAGCAGACACAACTCCTGTCGGGGTCCGTGGCATCTGCTTGCTGCAGTGTTCGGGGTCCCGCTCCCAAGGGCCGGGGGGTGCGGGGGAGCAGGCGCTGGGACTCACTACCTGGAAGCAGCGAATGACTGCCGGCAGCGCGTTATCGACCTCCGAGCCGGGCCACTCGCCATTTAGCCTTCTAAAGGCAAATCTGTCTTCGTCATCCTCTGCCACCTCCTCCTCTCCTCCCCAGGGCTGGCGGGGAGGTGCGGCAGGGCTGGCGGGGGGCTCCGGCTCAGAGAGCTCCGAGTCCTTCTCCGCATCCACACAAAGCCCTTTTCCACATCTCAGGTCCTCCTCGCTCGCGGGGAGGCTGGGAGATGCTGCCGCCGCAGCCGCTTCCTCCTCCTCCTCCTCCTCGCTGCTGCCCTCCTCCAGACCTGCCAGTGCCGTGCCCAGCGGGGCACACTGGGGTCTCACTAAAAGCTACCGACTGCTTTGAGCCCCCCCACGCAAAGCCAGTGTTAACACTGCTCCTCTCTGGCACTGCAGCCACATCCTCTCCGGAGAGAAAGTCACTCATTTTCTAAAAAGAAATGAATACACAAAAAAGGCCAGAGAGAGAGAGAGAGAAAAAAAGAGAGCGTTAGGGAGAACAGTAGGTCATGAAGCACACAGGCAAAACATCGGTTTCTTATAAAGTATCACATCTCCCGTAACGCATGCAACGGCAGTGGGTTTGGACACTTGGAAGCTTGAAAACCTTTGTGCTATGGGATGTATCCAGTGCATTTATAGAATCACAGAATGGTTTGGGTTGGAAGGGAATTCAAAGATCATCTAGTTCCAGTCCCCCTGCCATGGGCAGTACTGACACAGCCTTTCTGGGACAGTAACAATCTGCTCTCCTAAAGTTTAAGGAATTAATATTAAAACAACTCTCTACAACTAAAGGAAGAGCCACCAGTAAGCACTTTTTGCCCAGTTTGGAAACAGGAATAATTTCAGCGTAGCAAGTGAGGACTTGTGCACGTCCAACCAAACCCACCAACTACACCATACCCCAATTCTGCTTTGGACTCCTTGAAATATTTCACGCTGTGTTTTAACTTGCACGTGGAGGTTAAAAGAATAAACCCAGAATTAGTGTGCCCGATAATCCGCAGAGCCTGTGCTTTGCTCTCCCTCGCCCCTGGGAACACGCACACCTCTGAGCACCCTCTTTGCTCCAAGAGGTCTCCAAGATAACCTTGTCATTAGGGCACTGATAAAATTATTGTAAGAATTATGTATAAGTTAGTATCGAAACCAGCTGCTTCAATTACCAAGAGGCTCCCGAATCGATGACGCAGTCATCAAAGAAAGAATTTGTATTATTTCTCCTGGACAAACCGGTTCAATTAACTCAGCACAAACCTTTCCAGCTGAGGAATAAAGAAACGTGGCTTTAAACTGGAAAGCCAGATGTTCACACTAACGTGTGCCGACCCCACCGCCACCGAGCACGCGGTTCAGCCGGCTGCTCGCGAAGCTGCACTTGACCATTTATTCGGGATTACCGCAAAATATTTGTAATGTACTTTATCCCAAAAGCAGCTGGCGCACGGAAACCTTTGCAGCAGAGCTAAACCTCCTGAAGGGACAACAAAAGTGGCATTTGTGATGGTGCAGGGGAGAGAAGACACGTAACGAAGCGACTCAGCCCTCCGAGCAGCAAGGGAGCGTGTCTGAGATATTTGGGACGAGCGTGCCGAGCCAGAGGCTTTCACCAAGGCTGGTGCTATTCTGCTCTCCGTTCAGCTCGTTAGCAAGGTCTCAACTAGGTCTTCTCACATCTCTGGGAGCCCCTCTAGCCAGGAGGGAAGCAACAGTGACAGAAGAGAAGAGTTAAAACATGAACAAGACAAAGTTTAAACAAAAATCAGCTGTTTGCCCCAAAACCCGAGTGCCCAGTACGTCATACACCCAGAGAAGCTGCGTTTCAGTCCCCAGCACTGAGCCCTGGCTACAGTTCCCTGTAGGAACTGTGGGTTTCATTTATTGACATGGAAAGTTGCCTTCATGGAAGGGCAGAATAAGCAGTTACGGGCACCTACAATTTTATACATATCAAAGTTGTCACATCATCCAGCATCAGGGAACAAGGAGGGGAAAAAAAACCCAGAGGGATGCTGCTTAATCAATGCCAGTAATATTTTTTTCTTAATAATTAACCTCACTGCTGATTTCTGGTAACTTTGTATAAGAACAGCCACATATCTGTACATCAAAAAAAACAGTGATTAAATTTTCATAAAAGTGCAATTGCTGTCAACTGTTAGTCAAATTTTGCTGGTGCTATTAAGATGAACAGAAAGTGTTGCAACACTTTCTATTAAGAAGATTCTCTGAGCAAGCAAAAACCAGTAATTTGTGCTTAAAATGTGAGTTCTGAAGCCTGTGGGTTATCCAGTACGATGCGTTTTCAGTCGAGCAGAGGCTTTCACCCCGACTGACCTCATCTAATGGCCCAGTTCAATAGTTTGTCAAGAACAGGAGCTGCTTTATGTAGGAACAAATAGATGCTTATTTTAGTATCATTTCAAGAAATGACTTTTCCATCATTCCTCCCAGCTATTTTTCAGTTTCCAGCTTCTTTAAGTTGCAGATAGATTGCCTGTGAGATATCTATCCATTAGGATTTCCAGCCTCTTGGGCTTCTCTTAAATTCTTGGGATATTCCTTAGAAAAATGCATTTAACAGGAGTGAAGGGACAGCAATCAAGTCACACCGCACACATAGGGAAGTGCTATTTCTGATCAAAACCCACTTCTATGCATGCTCCTCCAAAGGTCTGTCCAGCTCCCACCCTTGGTTTGCCTAACACAAGATATTATCCTGCAATATTTCACCAAACAGAATAGGAATGGAGGTTTTCAGCTTTGAACGCCCGTGTCTTAATCTTGCTTTAAAACCTGGATTTATATACTGCCAATATACTGATCTCTCCTTAGTTATAGATGCAAAATCTTGCAAATTAATTGTGAGATGTTGAGAATACGCAGCACATCTTCTGGAGTTTAATGGAAAATGCCTTCGGAGCAAGATTTCCTTAAATACCAGCTGGGACACTATTTTGACCAAGAGGAAGAACGAAACCCAGAGATAAAACAAAGCAGATTAAGCAGCTACACAAACATAAATCTATTTAAGGGACAAACATTTGTATCCAGTCAAAACAACCTTCCAGCTCCCTTTTGTATACAGAAAAAGCAATTTGTATTTTGGAAGTATCTTGTATGGCAAAAGCACAAAGGGAAAAGCTGAAACGAAGCCTGGGACGTACATACACTGCTCGTCAGTCAAGCAAAGCGCAGCAAGAAACATGCAAACTATAAAGACAGAATGAAATCCTGATAAGATCAGCTGATGAGAAGCACTTTTTTTCTTGTCTTCCTATTCCACCGGTAACGAGTTAGACTAATTGAAAGGTATTAGTTTCTATATAAAATTATCTATTTACATACACTTCAAAAAAAAAAAAATATACAACCATGTTCGCTCCTATATTTTAAAACACAGTTTGCATGTAGGCTAGAAAAATGATCTTTTTGTAAAACAAAAAAAAACAAAAACCCTCTAGGAATTCGAACATCTGTTACAGGTTCTGATCTTATCAAGATTTATTTTAATTTGCAAACGCAAAAGTGTTCCTATTTTTAGGGCTCAGGTTTGCAGAATTCCAAGCTCTCCTTGAGACCCAGGAGACCTGGGAGTGCCCGGGCTGCAAATTATTCCTTTCCAGAGACACAGGACCAAACCACGGATGCCTAAATCAAGCACGAAGCAGATTATTCACACAAGCCAGACTCAGCGTGAAGAAAATACAGGACAGGATGCAGTGCCCCAGAGGAAACAAATGGGACCAGCCACAAATGCCA